CATTATCATCACGTACGTTCATCTGGAGCATTTTCCGGTCTGATTTTGCGATCAAACTGGCAATGCCTTCCTGTTTGTGCAAAGGCGCTCTTATGCTCCTTGTTTCCCCCCCCCCCCCCCCCTTTTCCCTCCGAGAATCTCGTTATGCTGACAAACTTTTGGGGGATACAGTCACCAGGCCATCGTGCGATGCATATTTGCGTACTTCATGGAAATCCCCCAGGAGAAATCGCCTTGGATGGAAGTACCGTTACACACGCTGATGAAACTCACACCCAAGGCGTACGGCACCGAGGTCGAGCGCTTCAAGGCCGACATCCCTGCCGTATCGACGTGGAGACCGAAGGGCAGCACGGCCAAGCACCATGACAGCGTCAGCGAGGGCGTGCCGGAGGACGTGGTCGGCGAGGCCAAGGGCAAGAACTTTGGCTCGCGCGACGGGACTGTCGTCAAGGAGCTCGATGCTGGCAGTAACCGGAGGGAGCTGACCGCGGGGGAGATTCCAAAGGTCACGATGACCGGATTGCCCTTGCCTTGAGACTTTTGCTGAGATGTGAGAAATATGGTCTATCAAAGACGAAGACGGGGAATCCCTAGAGAAGCATCACGGGGGCAGAAGAGGCGCCGCGACGCAGAAAAACGATTGAAACCATGAGTCCCGACAGGGAAATGAGGATGAGAAATCAGCGACGGGTCCTAGAGCCATTGGCACCGTCGCTTTGAGACAAGATGAATGAATTATGTTCTAGAGAGAAGATATGATGATGCAGGAAGTCTGGTTCAAGTGCATACCTACGTAGCAGAATACCCACCACTCGTAGGGCACGAGGAACACACCTCCAGTGCTCTTCTCCAAAATACCTAGGTATCTTCCAGGTCATCTATTGTCACTCCCCCTGCTGCTTCTGTTCTTGTTATTACTACCGTTGTCATCGTCGTCGTCGTCGTTGTTTACCCAAGAGCCATCGTCTCTCACCGATATCTGCTCCGGTCCCTGCTCGGGTGACCGCTCGCTCACTTGGCTGGATTTTATCCTTTCACCACGGTCACTTCGCTTTCTTTGCTCGATTTGGTACGATATACTAATCAAGTGACTAATCAACTCATTGAGAACGTGGATAGATGCCGTAGACTCAATCGATAGGTGGATAGGTTGCGAGGTTGATAGGTGAGTAGATGGGCAGATGGGTGGCTGAGTCCAATAATATATTCCATCTATGTTTTCTATATAACATGACGTATATGGAGGATCTTTCTGGACTGGATACTGGATACTGGAAACTGTAGACTGTAGACTGTAGGTTTGTAACTCGTGACAAAGGCCACCCCTCGATTTCAGGATTAACGAAAAGAAGGCGGGAAAAAACTGGGCTTGCTCGGTCGAGAATCAGGCTTGAGATATGCAGAGATGGACATAAGTAGATGGATGGATTGGAGCAGAGTGTCGCTGTTAGCAGGCAAAAGGTTCCCCGACCGTGCCGCTGTTGTAGGCGTCGACGATGAGTTTGATGGATACGTACGTTCCTGAGGAAATAATTCCCGAATGTTAGCCGTCTCGTTCTCCGGAGTTCTGCTCAACGAGAACAGCATGGAAATACGTACCGGCAACGCAGATGAAGGCGCCTGCGGCAAACGTCGCCGCGTTGATGGTTGCTTTGATTGGACTCCCGGTCCAGGCCCTCATCCCATAAACGCCCTTGACTCTCCCCTTATCAAGCCCGTGATAGGCATCGTACAACCAGAATGCACCGGCAATCCCATAGGTGTACCAGCTCGCGAACAGACTCGCCGCGATACTCACGAGGTACGCAAAGATAGGGACTCCCACTGCCAACACAAACGCAGCGCCGTTGGCAAGGATGATGAGCGTGGTCCACGTGGTCCAGCCCAGGATGGTGTGCTTGTGCAGATGATGTCGAGATTTGCGGAAGAAGCGAATGAAGAACAATTTGGCAGCGGTGTGAGAGTACAAAGACCCTGCGATCAGGAAGTTGGGGAGAGCGATACCGTACGTGGCTTTGGCCCATTTCGTGGGGAGGGATGAAAAGGCCGGCGACTGGACTGACGGCCCTAAATACACATACATGACGATGGTGAAGACGGTGTAGAACCTGAAGAGCATCCCGCCATCGACGGCTTACAGTCAGCCTCATATCCATCCCGCGTATGGCACTGCTCTTTACTCACGCAGTGGCAAAAACCTGCAACACCCACGCTGCCTTTTTGGCATCGGCCGGCCGCTTCATCTCCGAGATCAGGATGAAAAACATAAAATGCCCGGCGTACGCGAACACAGGATTCGTGATAGACACAAAGGCATTGTAGAAGCTGGCGGAACGAGCGACATCGACGTGTCGATCGGGAGCGGGATTCCCCCCAGCCGCGCCCATGCCTACGACACCGGCAACCAAAATGCAGATGCATGAGGGAATACAGAGCCAGGAGAGCTGGTCCAGTGTTCGAGGAAACGAGAGTATAAGGGTGGGAATTGCAAAGATTCCTGGCTTGTCAGTTAGTGATAATAGAACAAGATCACGAACGCAGCAAAACACACCAGTATACCACATCAGACAGAGCTTGTTGTCCGATAATACCCCCAAGGCAATCTGTCCAGCAAGTAGCTGTGACCCAGTTGCGCAGACGGCGAAGATGACGGTACCAGCGGAGAGGATTTCGCGCAGCAACGGCCCACCAAGGATCCTCCCGGCATCACCCATATTGTGAACCTCGGGGTGGTTGATTTTGAAGTCTATCAGCACCAGAGAGGTGTAGAGCGCAAAGACCCCTGTTACGAGGTTGCAGTCAGACACGCGAGATTCAGGCTTCACGATGCCCAGAGACCTCGGGCTATCTTACCAAGAAAGATGATCAGGACGACACCCGGCACGATGCCAACCACCGCTGTCGCTGCTGGCAAGGAGAGCATGCCATTACTGACTATCTCAGCAATCATGAGAACGGCGACGAGAGGCCATGATAATGTTTTGTATTTGATATCAGCACCTTCCTCGTTACCAAAGACGTCTCGATCTAGCGCCGTCAGCAAGGCGCACACACTTCTCCTCCCCAGGCCAGTGTGAAACATACCATGGTAACCAGCGGGGGCACCATCGACGAGATCTCGCGACCGAGCAGTGGACAGTCCTGCCGGCTCGATGATCTCGTCCGCCGGACCTCTGTACTCAAACTTCTTCTCGTAGCTCGACATTGTTCGACGCGCGATGTTTCTATGGTGTCAGCTATTACTATCTCCAATGAGGACGGTCGATTCTCCAGTGAGTCGTAGCTGTCATGACCATAGAATAGGCGGAGACGTCAAGCAGGCGATGTAAAGATTAAATGGCTGTAGTTGGCAAGGATATTATCGACAACACTCATGTCGCCCACCGCATTATCTATCAAAGCCCCTTCTGCCAGAAGAGGAAGGTGGAAAGGCATAGTGCGTAGCAGTCTCATTGCAGGGACGGGATTGGGTGAGGATTGGATAGCGATCATGGTGACAGGGATGGTTGAGGTCAGGATACCAGGAGTTGATTACAAGGGCCTGGAGTGGAGCGGGAGTTGACCGGTGCCAAGCCATAGAGACAGCCACTCCTTACCAGCCACTGGCCGTAGAACGCTGACCTAAACAGGTCACACCAGCCACAGTGTCCTGATTTCCCATGCCATTTCGAAATCACATGCTGCAACTGCGCGCGTGAGCCAATCATCGTCTGATCCGCAACCTCTTTCGTCATACCCATTCCACCCAAGTGCCACCCTCCACACTCCCAGCTCGCCAGGTTGAAACCGGGAAGCAGCAGTGAGAGAAAAGCTTTGGCTCCTTTGCTCCGTTCTCATCACTGACCTCTTGTCACCTGTGTGCGAAAATCCTTCTCTTGCGTCCGCCACCCCTTCGAAGCTCATCGTCTGTCCTTCCTTGAGAGCTGCACTGTCATCCACGCGATTGGCAAGATGAGTTACGCCGATGTTGCTGCCAAAGGGCCTAAACAATCCCCAGAAGAGGTCAGTCAAGCTCCCATTCCCAACCACACCAGAACTTCTAGCTAACCCTTCCGTAGGCGTATGTTCCTGGTCATGTCTGCCAGCATATTTTCAATCCGCTAATGTGGTATCAACTAGGCGTGCTCCACCTGTTCCCTCCCTCTCCCAGTCCGAGTCGGAAGTTGCAAGCTTGATCGACGTCGACTCGCCGCACGTCAGCTCAGTCAAATCAGATTTCCAAGAACAAGCCATCAAGACTGAGACGCAGGCTGAACGGATCGAGCACGAACTGGAGGACAAGGCTCGCGCAGCAAGGCAGGAATTCTCAGACAATGCTGCTAGTGCCAAGAAGAAGGCTGCTGGCAAGGGCAAGCAATTCAAGGACGAGATGAAGAAGGACGGACAAAAGTTGAGCGAAAATAGGGACAATCCTGTTGTCGTTGGTAATGCCATCATCTGGGGCATTGCCACTCTTGCTATTGGCTATGGAGCATACCAGAAGCATACGGAAGGCAAATTGGACTGGCAGCTTGCTGGATCTGTGGCCGCTGGAGTAGGCGCTTTCGCTGTCGCCGATTATTTTGGCAGCAAGTAAGATTTACGCCTTCTCTCATCTTTGTTATTGGTAAACTGACACGCCTTCTAGGTGGCTCCTTGAGAACAAGTACCCTCCGAAATAGGCCGCAATTGGCTCAGTTTGAACGACTCTCCCATGGCGGCGGTGGTGGAAGGAATTGTCTAGATTTTGGCGCGACTTCTCTACTCGATTGACGGTGGGGGCGGGCTTCTGGCGTGCAAGCCTTTCGGTGCCATATTTCTTTGGTCTCGCAAATATGATATCCCCTTTATGATCTCCTCACTGCAATTACTTCCTTGCACAGCTTTGTTTTTGGCTTGATCGATGACGTTTCAGTGACCAACTCGACACTGCAAGGAATCTCCTGCTCCACTTCCCCTGGTGGTCTTATCGGTTGACATATCTCTCGTCCGTAAGTCAGCCTGCGAAGGGCATGGCATTCTGATTCTGACTGCTTGCGACGAATAGACCGCTGATTGCAATGCAACCATGAACAGGGTGAAGAGGCGACAATGGCTATCATGAGCATGGACATCTAGATGAGGTTGGACTGAGGTATCGAAGATCGAGTCATGGTTGGCGGCCGGATACAGCAAACTGAGGAATCCGTTGATAAAGTGCAGGACCAACACTGGGTTGCAGAAGATCATGGTGTACAGGAACGCAGGCTGCTGTTGGATTATGTCCCAGCCTGAGCGAGGCTCACTGGAGAAGGGCTGTTCTTTGTCGGATGCGCCGTTCATTGCTGCGACATAGGATTCGAATGTGAAGGTGGTACTTTGGATGGGCACTGTGGCTTGCGAACAACAATATCCGTTGTTGTTTTGGCGAAACGCTGGCTGCGAGCACAGGAGTGAGACTGGCTGGGTGGACGAAGACAATTCTTTGGATCTTCACAAGATAAAATTGATAACAGCGGGATATCCTCGTAATCAGTATAGATGGATGAGGGGAGAAAATAGGTTCAGCCAAAGAAAAATGTGCGGTTACTGCAATGGTTGACGGCAACGACTTCCTCACCCACCAGAGGCTGATTTACTTTCAGGTGACACTGCAACACGTCGAGGCAGTTGCGGCGTCACAGAAATCGCTTGAGCTGTATGGTTTGCTTGTGAGTGTACACAATATGGAATTTCTCAACAAGACCTTGGTGACCATAGGCCTGGGAAATTGTAGGTGAATTGTCCACCTGTATAGATAGGTGGCCCATGTCTAGCACTTCTAACTACGTGTGCCAACATAGTGATCAACGATGTGTTTTCCCCCTGTAGGAACAGTTTTGTCATGGTTACCAGTTTGTGTCGTCGAAGTAGAGCGAATCATATGTGATTCGGCAGAATTTCGTATTTGATGCCCTTTTGGGGTTCCAGCGCAGCAGCAAAGCGCGCTGGGAGGACAAACTGTACTTTTGGTGCCCCCCATCAACAACATGAATTATTGGAGCCCAAAGTCGAGACGGAATTTCTAGCATCTCTTGTAAAGTCCCTGTATTTCCTCCATCATATCTAGTTCCGAAGCGTTTGCAAGATGGTAAGTCGGTCCTCTGTCAGGTGTGCGGCTCAAGACATCTCGCTCACATGCTCTAGAATGTGCTATTCAACCAAGCACTGAAACAGTCCACGGCTGTCAGAAAAGACCTAGAAACTTTCGCACAGGCACCGGCCACCGCGTCTCCCGCTCTACAGGGACAGATATCCACGACCCTTACCAGTCTTTCACGAACCCTAGAGGACTACCAAAATCTCTCGCGAAATGAGCTGAATGAAGAGAAGAAAGAGAAGGCCTTAGAGAGACTCAAGAACTTTCGCGCAGATCTGGCGTCCTATCGCACACAATTCGACCAACTGAAAAGGGAACGTGAGGCAACTGTTGCTGTAAACAATAGGAATGAACTACTCGGTCGACGGCCGCACCACGCCGCAACCCCTGAGAACCCATATGCCCATGTCTCAAGTCAGAGCGCATTTGCTCCTGCCCACCGCAACACACAAGACGGATTGTCCTTCGGCGCGGGTTCCAGCGAGTATACTCGGGAGGAACACGCACTGCGAGAACAGAGCTTCTTTGATACTGCCAATGCGCAGCTCGACGAGTTTTTAGATCGAGGCCGAGCTGTTCTGGGTGATTTGGGACATCAACGTGACATTCTCAAAGGTACACAGCGGAAGCTCTATAGTGTTGCCAATACACTTGGAGTGAGCGGTGACACTATCCGGATGGTTGAGCGAAGAGCCATGCAAGACAAATGGATCTTTTGGGGAGGTGTTGTGGTGTTTTTCTCCTTCTGCTTCTTGGTCATCTACTTCTTGAGATAACCATATTGTTGTGGCGACATCTCCCGCCAGTTCGATTCTCCTCGATGCAACGCTCATCAAGTCATCCTGAGAGCGGCGGCATGTGTTTCGGCCAAGCTGAGACGACGAATAGCGGACGTGGGCTCGGATTACTGAAGCTTGGTCACGAACACATGATAAAAAGCTGGGTCCCTCATACCACCTGCGGCTTACAACTACACCGGACTTATGAGCCAGCAGAGTGGCGAGAAGATGCCGATGCCTCGTCGCCCTCAATTAGGAGGTATTGACCGAGTCGGAAATACTCCAAGTGCCCGTCTCGGTCCCCAGGGACGACGGCAGCAAACGGTGTCTTTCGAGACCGTGTCATGTCTTGTTGACACATGTTGGGCCCAACCTTGTTCGATATCAAGATGTGTCAGGATTACCGAGTCAGGGACCCATCCAGTTAGCAGATAACGCCCCTTCGTGTGTGGGATCTGGGCTTTGGCCACTGCAGAAGGCTGGATTGGATTCGCGGCCGCAGGCGAACCTTCCCCGCATTTTCGAGTCAAGGCTCAACCCCAGTCAGGCGCGCATTGATTGCCTCGGAACAACCCACGGCGTCCGTGTCGCAGGCACTAGATCAGGTATTTATCGACTCGGAAGGTTTTTTTGGCTGCTCCCATCGCTTCTCTTAAATTGCTGTCTTGCCTCCTTCGATACAAGTTTCCTCTTTCCACTTTGTTCGCCTTGAAGTGCCCTTTCAGAAACCAGCTCGACTTCAAGTGATTTTCTTCTCGAGAGACCATCAAAGTCAGCAAGATGGGAGGTGACATGCCATGGCCGCAAGTCCCCGTGGGCAATAAGGACCACACTGAGGCAGCTGTGGTCATCATCGGCGCGGGGATTTCCGGCATGTGCACCGCCATTGACCTGATCAAAAGAAACAACTGCAGAAACTTCGTTATCCTCGAAAAGAGTGGCGGGCTTGGTGGCACATGGCGAGACAACAAGTACCCAGGATGCTGTTGTGATGGTAAGAACAACCCCCGTCGTGGAGCAGCGAGATTCTAACAATGTGCGCAGTCTGGTCACATTTATACAGCTACTCGTTCGAGCAGAACCCCGACTGGACCAGAGAGTACCCTGGCCAGGAGGAAATCTTGCAGTATCTCATGGGGGTCGCCCAAAAGTACGAGTTATACCGTTATGTACGCTTCAACACCGCCGTGGACTCAGCCAAGTGGGATGACGCAGAGAAAAAGTGGAAGACAACAGTGTCTGTGCAGGGCGCCAAAGACGCCGAGTTTGGGAGCACATATACCATTACCTCTGACTTTCTAGTCTCTGCCGTGGGCCAGCTCAATGTGCCTAGAATGCCAGAAATACCAGGCCTTGACGACTTTCAGGGCAAACTCATGCACAGCGCCCGCTGGGACTGGAGCTACGATCTACGAGGCAAGAAAGTTGCCATTATTGGAAACGGTGCCACAGCCGCGCAGATCATTCCAGAGATTGCCAAAGAGGTTTCTCATCTTACCATCCACCAAAGGACTCCCAACTGGGTCATTCCTCGTCTCGACTCTACTATTCCAGCCTGGAAGAGAAGTGTGTACAAGTATCTTCCCTTTGTCCGGTGGCGAAAGCGAGCCGACATGATGGATTTCCGGGAAGCATTCTATGCCGCCGTGTTTGATAACGCATCCAGCACCGCACAATTTCTTGAGGCGCAGAGCAAAGATCATCTCCATGCTCAACTTCCAAATCGACCCGACTTGTGGGAGAAGCTGCAGCCAAACTATTCGATTGGTTGCAAACGCGTCATCATCAGCGACGACTACTTCCCCGTATTCCTCCGTGACAATGTTCGATTGGAAACCGGCAAAATCGACAAGATCACGGCCAACGGCATTGTCACTGACGGGGAAGAGGAGGATTACGATCTCATTATTCTCGCCACTGGTTTCCGCACAGTCGAGTTCATGCATCCCATCAACATCACAGGCAGCGCCGGGCGAACGTTGAGCGAGATCTGGAAGGAGGGTGGGCAAGCTCTGTATGGTGTGACTGTCGAGAGTCTGCCCAATTTCGGGATGCTGTATGGGCCCAACACGAATCTGGGACACAACAGCATCATCCTCATGATCGAGACGCAGAGCAAATACATCAACGCCCTGATCAAGCAGGTCATTGATGCCCGAAAGAATGGTGGCAGCCTGGTGATCCAGCCTAACCCGGCCAAAGTCAAAAAGTACAACGATGAAATCCAGTCGGAACTGGAAAGGAGCAGCTTCGCAGATCCCAACTGCAACAGCTGGTACAAGGTCAAGGATAGCGGCAAGATCACCAACAACTGGAGTCGCACCGTCGTGGACTATCAGAAGGTGAGATGCGATCCCGACCGCCCATGCCTAACTTTTCTAATGCTGACTTGCCGATAGCTTTTGAGCAATGTCGACTGGTCCGACTATGAACTCTCAGGGACTGTTGCAGATAAAGTGGCCAAGCAAAAGCCCACGCATATTGGGCGAGTTGTAGAAGAGTCGCAGATCAGCTACCAAACCATGGCTCTGACGGCGCTGAGCTTAGCAGCGGTGGGCGCGGGTGTTGCTCTCCGGCACACGGGTAGGCTTCGGTTCTGAAGACGGGATTCATGCACCTACACATTGGCTGGGGAAGATGGAGTTTGGAGGATTTCTGGAGAGATCTGTACATAGTAGTTGGTATAGTCTGGCCTCGACGATCTTCTGCTGCAATATGAATATTTTGCCCTCCCTTTTTCTCTCCCCCTTGTCATTTGTGCGGCGGTCTGCGAAAGGAAAAAGTAAGCGTGGGGCTTCGATACGTACGAACAGGTAGTGATTGGCAAACCGAAATTTCGACATTCAGCGTGGGATGGGTCTCTTCATCGATCTCAGGAGAATTCGGGGTTCCTTGTGCCTCGCCCTTGTCCTTTCCTGGCAAGCCATGTGGTGCCTAGCTAGGGGGGACACTGGGCCACGTCCTATAGGCGAGAACCCCCTCAACAAGCATGTTACTAGTATTTGTAGGGTACTTTGGCATGTCATCGGGGGCCACCTTAGCCTAGTGAGCCGGGGCTATTAGCTGGACCTCTGTTACTGGCTACACGCCCAGTGCTTTGGGGCCCTTCCGGAGCACTCTCCTCTCTTGTCTCTTTCTCGGTTCCCACGAACTTGTCCTGCGTTGATTTTCTGGCACCCATAACAATCGACATCTACAAGCCCGCCCGATATCTCATTCTGTAGAATCAACACCCATATCCCGCGATATTTATCGTCCGTCGTTCGACTTGATCCGCACCCCTGCATATTGGCCTGTTCGCCTCCGAACTCACGCGCCCATATACCGCATTTTACTCTCGACTCGCCCCAAAAAGCTACTTTCGACGGACCCTGTCCACGTTACGACTTCCATTTCCTCTAGATCCTCACAAGATGCCTTCTCCCTTCGGGTCTACCTTTGCCTCTGCCGCTGCTGCTAGCACGAATGGTGACAGTTCTGGAAATAGAAGGGACAACACGGGATCAAGTGACTGGTAGGCCAACCGACTCGAGAATTTTTGAACATTGCGCACCACAAATCTATCTTCAGTTATCGCACCACCAATGCTCAAATCATTCTATCTCTCGGAATCCATCTCGCTCCGTCTGATTTCACGTTGGAATTGGCGATTTTCATTGACCTTTCTGATCTCGTTGCAGGTCCAGAAGCCGTGTGAACGGCGCCCCGCAAACCTTTCGCAGAGTCTCTCAAGCGGCTTCGCAGTCACAGACACAATCACAAGCTCGAGAAAGCGCAGGCGTAGCCTTGCCTACTGCCAATAACGGCGGCGTGTACATCCCTCCTCACCTCAATTCCACCAACCCTAGCATGCCTCGAAACCCCCCTCTGGGCGATACCCGCTACTCCAAGGACCAACTTCTGAACATATTCCAAAATCTCAAAGAGTCCTCGGCTCTAGATCGGAACCTCGAGGATATATTTTTGGGAACGTGGAATCCCTTGGATAGTCAAAACGGGGTGGGTGTTCACGGCATCGGTGGTGACGGAAAAGACCAGGTCCCCGGCCCAGAGGTCTGTTGGAGCTATAACATAAATCCCGAGCCGTTTGGCCTGAGGGTTATGACGGAAGAGGAGAAAGTGGTGAGGAAGACCTAACCTTTGCGCGATATGTTAGGCGTGGCTGATTGTGAATGGCAGCTCTTTTCCGGTTCGGTCAACTCGCCAATCAAACCGCAGCAAAATACCTCCAAAGAGAGCACTGGGGTGGGAGTGATCGGTGGACGCAAGGCTTCTCTATCAAGTTACAACACTACGACCGGGAATTCGAGGCCAGGAACGCGTCGTCGAGAGACAAGTGATTCCTTCATGAGTAACGGGCCCATGTCACCTGTAGAAACGAAGTCCTTTTTCCGAACCGAATCAAACACCGCGACCCCTCCTCCTGCTCTGCTGCGGCGTCGAACAGACTACAAGGAGGAAGAAGCCACACCCTCTGCCAAAGAAGATCCAGAGCCAGACGAAACCCCAGAGTCGCAGCCGTCATTTCCGGGGTTGCGTCGCGCAGGCACTGGTCCATTAAGTGCCGGCTTGAACCCCCCGTCTGCATCGCCCTGGTCAGCGGGTGCTCAGCCGTCTGGTTTCGGATCTATGGGTACTTTTGGCAGCTTTGCGATAGGAGCTGCAAGCACGCCAACCGACCCTGCCGACAAGCGACCTGGCTTTGGGAGCGCACGCAGCGCCAGCCGGTTCAAGGATCTTTTGTCCAAGTCGAGTGCGGAGGATGTCTCACAACCTGGTAAAGACAAAGGCCTTTTTGGGTCACTTGAAAAGCTGCCGGAAGAGGACGCAGATGCCAGCCAGGCGAGGTTGCGTGACGAGCTCAAGACTCGTCCCGGTCGTAGTGAGACCAACCCGTATGAGGACGCAGCCGTGCGAGCAGGCAGCGCGGCTTTGGGTGGCGCCCAGGAGGCCATCTCAGCCGGCGCAGGGATTGAACAAATGGGCATGTCTGCATTCGCTCCTCATGCTGCGATTGGTACCCGGGACTTTGGCCACGATGAAGGGTACCAGCAAACACCGCACGGACGATACAATCTCCACGAACCCATGAGCCCAACAAACACCAATCCATATCAGAGTCCTCATGGTCGTGTCGAGGATGATGAGCGTGACACAAATGACTCCGCTTCCCAGGCATCGGGCCTCCCGCCTTTTGGCGGTGCTGCGCGTCGAGGCATGTATCCTAGTTCCGACGATCGAAGTAATTCAGCAAGCGGTCTCCGCGGTGCAGCTGGATTTGGTGGTCTGGCGGGCTTCGGTGGTCTCGGAGGTAATCCTACTTGGTCCGGCGCTGGTATCGGATCAAGCAAACCTGCATTGGATCGAGGTATCTCGGCTGCATTTGGCGATCCTATATTCAGTCCTCTGTCCGAGTTACAGTCCCCTGGTGGCCTCGGCGGCGGTTTCGGTGGATTTGGCTCTGGTGGAAGGGCTGCTCGACTCGGAGCCATGTTGCCAGCGGCGATGCAAGAACAAATTCGAGGGGACAGCAGGAACGAGACAGCATCGTTCGACTCTCGGCCAGACAGTGCTCAGCAACATCCAGTGCGCGATCCTTTCGATGGCACAAACCGCAGACAAGATGAGTTTGGTCGTCCACCAAGCCTCTTCGAAGAGTCCCCTTCTATGAGGAGCGTGGAAGAACCGCTGAATCCCAATCTGCCCGCGCAATTTGGACCTCCAAGCGCAGGGCCTCCAACGGGTTCAGTCCCGATATCAGGTTCAGCTTCCGCTTCACAGGCGGCACCGAGAACGGGCGGATCGGAGAACTATCAATCCGGCCATGGGCTCAGCCAGTCGAGCGGGAGTAACTCTTCGAACCAGCTGCCAGCTACGCAACAGCGACAAATGGTTATGCCCGACCGGATGCGCTGGATCTATCGTGACCCTCAAGGAAACACCCAAGGACCATGGTCTGGTCTGGAGATGCACGATTGGTTCAAGGCCGGCTTCTTTACAGCCGAGCTACAGGTGAAGAAGCTTGAGGATGCCGAGTTTGAGCCACTGGCCCAATTGGTGAGACGCATAGGAAACTCTCGTGAGCCATTCTTGGTGCCTCAGATCGGTGTTCCTCACGGCCCTCCAACCGCTGGCCCTGGTAACAACTGGGCGAACCCTTCCATGGGTGCGGCTGCTAGCGGTACTGCCCAGCCACCCTTTGCTAATAGCTTCCCAAGCTTCGGTACGACCTTGACCGCGGAGCAACAAAATGCTCTGGAAAGACGTAAGCAGGAGGAGCAATACCTGATGGCAAGACAGAAGGAACATCTGGCGCAACAGCAGATGGCTATGAAGATGCAAATGCAAAATGGGATGCATTCGTTGCACCATCACTCCAGCGCCCACTCCCTACAAAGCCAACCCAGCTTCGGGAGCATCACCTCGCCGACTGGTTATCAGCCGTCACCAATACAGCCGTTGATGCAACCTCCCCAGCAAGGTCTACCATTCGCCCATCACGCTGGACCGTCTGCGGCACCAGCCTTTGGCCGTGAAGATGATATTCATAATATGATGGATCGTCTGAGCTTCAATCAACGCACAAATAATCTCCCCTTCACCGGCGCCCCTTTAGGCCCTCCGCCACCCGAGGTCGTTCCCTCCCAACAAGTCAACACGATGCTTCAAGATAGGGCTCGGTTGCAGCAACAACAGCAACAAACTGATATGCGCGGTCATCAGGACGCTTTTTTAGGCCCTCAGGGCCGCAACGAGCGGCTGGACGAGTTCCACAGACTACGTGGGCAAATCGACATACCAGCTGGTCGTCTCGGCCCTGAAGAGCCTCGACCTCAACCCATTGGTGCTCCCCGCCAACCTAGTGAACAAGCTGTCACGTCAGCAGCACCAAAGGTCCCAGCCCCAATTGGGCACGCTGGTGTTACGGCGAAGCCCGAACCCGAGCAACTTTCTTTGGCTCAGCAAGTGCAGATTGCAGCAGCCAGCCAACAAGCGGCCGCGGAAGAAAGTGCTTGGGCCAAAAAAGACACTCCGGTCGAGCCTCCCCCTGTCTCGATTTCCCCTTTGCCTGCTCCCGCCGCCCAGCGGAACAGGCAACACGTGGCTGACGCCCTTGCCGCGGAGTCCAGATCGGCCACTCAAACACCCATCGAGACGCCCATCGTCTCGGTCGCACCATGGGCTGAGCGCACCGCTGAACACGCCAAGGGTCCATCTTTGAAGGAAATCCAAGAAGCGGAAGCCAAACGGGCAGCCGAGCAGGAAGAACTTGCTGCCGCTGCTCGACGTGCACAGGCGGAGCAGGAAAGGCTGGCCCAGGCTCAGGCCCCCGCCCCTGCACCCGGCCTTCCGTCCACTTCCACCTGGGGCAGCTCCGTGTCACCTGCCACACCCGGTGCTCAAACCACCTCTGTCTGGGCGAAACAAAACCCTGTCAAAACAGGTACAACAGCGAATACGGCTCCAAAGAAAACGCTGGCCCAGATTCAGAAAGAGGAAGAGTCTCGCAAACAGCGTGCTGCTGCTGCGGCTGCAGCCGCTACGGCAAGCGTACAAACTACTGGCAACCCAACCGCTGCTTCGGGTGGCAAGAGATACGCAGAACTTGCAGGGAAAGCCGCTCCAGCAAACCCGGGAGGCCCAGGCGGCGCGTGGACGACTGTAGGCTCGGGCGGTAAGGCCAAGGCCCCGCCTGCCGTCGTTGCAACGCCTCAGCCGGTATCGCGAACAGTGTCAGCGAGCAGCGCACCCAAAACGCGGCCTGCTCTCTCCACGCCTCGAAGCACCACCTCAACTAACCAGAGCAAAGCCAATGAAGAATTCACCAAGTGGATCAAAGGGTCACTCGGGAAGGGGTTGAACAGCGGGATCAACTGTAAGTATTGGTAGTTTGGTGGCTGTTGGGTCTAATACTAACATGGTGGCAGTGGATAATTTTGTGCAAGATCTGCTGCAACTCCCCCCCGACGTCGAAATCATATCAGATAGTGTCTATGCGAGCTCGCAGACCCTTGATGGCCGTCGCTTTGCAGAGGAGTTTGTCCGCCGCCGAAAACTCGCCGACAAGGGAGTCGTGGAGCCTGCCACTGGTGTTCAACCGATGATGGGTATCGGTGGAAGTGCAGATACCAAGAGCGCGGGCGCCGCGGGTGGCGGGTGGAGCGAGGTTGCGAAGAAAGGGCCGGCGAATGCCAGTGCTGCCAAGGAGGAGAGCAATGCGCAGTTCAAGGTTGTCGCCACGAAGAAGAAGGGAAAGAGGTAACGAGCAACGAGAATCGAAGTTGGGAGGCTACGAACCAAGCTGTGTGGGAGATGACGGGTGGCAGAGAGCATCATGTAGCTGTCTAGTTAACGGTACATTTGTCCCGAGGAGAGCAAGACGTGCGAGGTTGATATGTGAGAAGTGCGATGATACGATGCCCGTGGCTCACATTGGGTCACGTATGGCTGTTGGAAATGATACAACGAGCATCTGCGATTCCGGTTTTTGTCTTTGTCCTTGTGGAGCTGATGGCGACCTTTGCCTGAGTTTCGCTGCTTCGGGAATAATTAAAATTTGATTGGTCCACGAGTCGCCGTTTTGGGAAAATTGCTCCAACCCCTTTTCGGATCTCAACCTCGTTCCTGGAATTCATCATACAGGAAGAGTGCACTTGGTGGCCCTGTACATATCTCCGCTGCGTTTTTATCTGTTCACCTGTTCACTGTCTTGCCTTCCTACCTGCTTACTTCGGTTGTGAGTTTCCGAACAACGAGACAATTGGCGTCACAGAAAACTAGCAAAGTCGAATTTTTTAGTCTCTACTGATATCTTTCTAGGGATGAGGCTCCATCTAATAACCACACCCACTCTTTAAAAAATACAACATTTGGTATCTTATCTCTCTGAGAACGCATCAATCACACTGCGGGGCTTGGTGTACTTGCCAATTGGCACATACTTGATCTGATCAAACCCCATCGACCCAGGTCCGCCCAGTTCCAGACCTCGCGGGGTGTCGGTCCATCGAGGGGACGCGGCGATGGCGATGACAGTCACCTTTAGGCCGTACTTGTAGTCGGGTACACCCAGGCCGGCGCCCGTCTCCAGATCAAGCACGGCGATGAGGTCCGGGACTGCGGCCAAGATGGTGGTCTGGCCATCGCCGGTGGTCGCTTCGACAAAGGCGTTTTCGTTCTTGAACGGGATTCTGACGCTGGCTTTAGCCCCGGAGCTGCTCAGCACGCCGTCAATCTCTACCACGCCGTACGAGTGGCCCGTCTTTAGCACGCGCTCGACGCTGGTGATCTTGCCCTGGGCCAGGATCCGGGCACTGGCAGCACCACCCACGGCTTCGATGATGCGCGTTGCACGGTCTGCAACGTTCTTCTCCAGCGCCACGGCCCGCCCGATCCACCACGCCAACGACACGCTGTGGAGAATGGCCTGCTCTTGAACGACCTTGGCTGTCTTGGGCGGACAGGCCTTTCCAGCTCGGCACCCCATCTCGACCACGGCGGCGCGCAATGCACTGTCCACCAGCCGGTCTGTCCGGCTGGCCGTCATGGTCATGAACGACCCGTCCCCGCTGGCGATGGTAGCAGGCACGAGTGCCTCGCCCTTGGGGGAGCCGTAGACATTGATGGTCGTCTGCCAGTAGGTCGGGTACGCGCGGCCCATGAGGTCGGCGTCGACGCAGGGCACACCGTGCGCGGCGGCCACCTCGAGGTTGACCAGGCCGTTGCCGCCGCCGATCTCCACGGCCATGAACCCGTTCATGGGCGGCAGGCCCAGCACCCGCGTCAACTCGTCCTGCGCCTTGTTACACTCGTCGGCCTCCATCCGCTCCATGCTCACCTCGGGACTACCCATGCACCCGGTCCAGCCGACCATGGCGCTCGCGGGGAGGTCCAGGGGCGATACGACCCTGATGCTGCCCGGGGCCGATCGCAGCACCGCCGTGATCTTGAGGAACTGCTGGTACGGGTCGCCACCGCCGCCGCAGCCGAGAATCTTGCAGCCACTGGAAATCCACTCGAGATCCGTCATGGAGATGATCCACTCGCGGTTTTCGACCCGGGGTTGGTAATTTTCGAGGTCAACCACTCCGAGCTCTTCTTCTTCTCTTAGGTCTGTTGATGCATGATCTAGAGATTTGCTGGCGGAGTGTTGAGGCAGTTCTGGCGGCGGGGCGATGTTGGTGGATGATGCTACTTGTTTAGCGTGCTTGACGGTGTCGAGCGTGCCAACTGCTCTGATCAGTATCCGTGCCTTTGCGTCGACGTACTGGATGGGGAGGATGGTGACCTCGGCGATCTCGACGGTCTCACGTCTGGCCCCGTTAGCCACTGCGGCGTCTATCGCCAACCGCGACACCACCTCCTGAGCCTCCTTCAACGTCTGGTGCGACGTGTCAACCACCGTGTCCACAACGCCCGAGACTCTCGAGATGGCCGCCCCAACCGCGTTGGCGACTTCGCCGCCCTTGACTTTGCGCACGGTGCGGACCCCGGCGAGCGGCTCGTCCGTGTCGATCAGGATGGCGCCCCCGCCGACAATCAAGACGTCCACGTCCCCCTTTTGCACTTTGGTCCGGTCGACCAGCTCTTCGACGATGCGGCGCATCTCTCGCTTCGCCCGCGCGACCGTCTCGGGCGTGACATCTCTCAGACGAGCTGGATCCCCGAGACCCTGAAGGGGATTGTCCCCAGACGGCGCGTGGAGCTCGGACGCTGCCACGATGTCGGTCGCGGTGAGCACGTCTCCGCCAAACAGACGCGCCTTCGTCGGCAGTTCCAGCGCGACGCTGTCTGGACCGACGGTTAGATGGTCCGGGGAGACTCTGATGATGCTGCCGCCGCCAAGCCCGACGCTCTCCACGGCTGGCAAGGCAAAGTTTGTCCGCACGCCGCCCACGAGGCTCATGAGTGAGCTCATCCGGGGCAGCCCGTTGGGGAGGAGCAGGCCGCTGTCCGAGGTCGTCCCGCCAATGTCAATCACCACGAGGGCGTCCTGACGTGCCGCTGATTCCTGGGATTCATGCAGGTCTGAGCTCGCCGCCGTGGTCCAGAGAAACTCGCCGCCCCGGATCGAGTTGGTGGGACCCGAGTTGAACGTGCGGATGGGCAGGTCGATGGCGTCGGGCGCGTTCAGCACGCTCCCGTCGTTCTGCGTCAGGTACAGCGCACAGGGCGACCCGTGGAAGATGTCCACCATGGCCTTTTGGAAGCCCCAGATGGTCCTCTCGGCGAGCGGTCGCAGGGACGCGTTGAGGATGGCTGCGTTCTCCCGCGCCAGGAATCCCAGCGACGAGATCTGGTGGGACAGCGTCACACGGGGTCGTGCTGACACGCCTGCGGCTGCAACGAGCCCGTGCATCTTCTCCAGGAGGATCCGGCCGGCTCGGATCTCATGTGCCGCGTTGGGGGGTGAGTAGATGCCCGAGACGACCACGTTGAAGACGCCGTCCGCAGCTAGTTCGCCAGCCACTCTCTCCAGCTCGGTCTGGTCGATGGGCGAGATCTCCGCACCCGAGATCTGGTGGCCGCCGTGGCAGAAAAAGGGCCGGGTGGCGATCAATCGACGCAGATCTGGGGGGAAATCGATAAAGGGGGGCACGCCGACGCCAAAGCCATGCTCTGGCCCGCCGCAGAGACGGACGACGCCGACGCGTTGGAGTGACGAAGACCGCTGCACCACGGCGTTGACAAAGTGCGTCGTGCCAATGATGACGCAGCTGATGGTGTCGAGGGCCACATTGCTCGCCTGGATGACGGCCCGGACGGCCTCGGTGATGCCTGTCGTCACATCTGGCGTCGTGGGCGCTTTGTGGGACGCGATGATCTGCGTCGGCGACAGCGAGATGAGCACAGCGTCGGTGTTGGTGCCGCCCACGTCGACTCCTATCCGATACCTTTGAAATTGCGCGTCGGTGATGCCTACACTCCCCATGATTCCAATTTTCTCTGGTCCTCGCCTTTTCTCCTTCTCGTGGAGATTTCAAAGGTGATTATACCTTTTTTTCCCTGCTTGTTCGTCCTCGAGTCCTGCTCCGCCCCAACTGAGTTCTTGGTATCTTCTCTAAGAATGCTTGGATATACACTGCTATCCCTTTGGCCGATGCCGAGCAGCGAAGCGAAGCGAACGAGCGAACGAACAAACGAGAAAGGAATTTGGCCGACCGATGACGGACGGTGGATATTTCCAGGTCCAGACAAAAGTTCAACTTTGGGCGGGACGGAGTTGAGCGATTGATCAGAAGAGCAGATTTTTGTCTGTATTATGTACGAGGTATTTGTTCTATATTTCCTTTTATCAACTCAGCGAGGTCGGTGATTCAGCGAGTCAGAGAGTCAGTGAATACGACCAAGATAGGCTGGAAATTCAAAACAATCACATTACTATGTCCTTTTGTCTGGACCTGCTCTTGAATGGCCGACCAATACTGGCCGGGCTATATCAAAAACCAACTGGAAACCTTCGCCGAGCAAGTCAACCAAGCCACCGCCGGAAATCCACCCTTTATTGCGGGCACTTGTCTCACTGGTGGCTCCTGTACGGCCACACCAGTGCAAAGATGCCCCAAAGTCGATCGCCGCAATCAAGGTTGGCCGAAGGGTCCTTGTATGGTCGGTCAACTTCTGGGCCACGCTCGTATCAGGTCAAGATATACTCCCGAGGTCGTCTACACAATTGACCGATGGATGCACAGTACATGGGGTTCCACAAGGCTAGTCGACTCCTACCTACCGAGTTATATATCCCCGTCGCCACAGTGCATAATTCTTGACCGAAGCCATGTCGCGATCGGTTAACAATTATTGGGTTCCCACGACCATGCACCTCCAGTAGAACCGGTGTTCAGTCGCCTCTGGAAACACCAAACACCGCGGCCAACGAACTCTATGCACGTACTCCTTAACCGAGTACATATGCAGGACCATGCACCCTTTGGATCCTCGCATGTCATACCATATCAGTGGAGACCATTTTTCCTGGAGGAGGAATATCGGCATTGAGGATCGCGTGGCGACAGATCGGCCAAGTAAATAGCACAAGTAAGTATCACATGAGACACGCAAAGGTCTAGGCTCACGCGAGGATGAATGATGAGTTTAGTATCAAAAGAACAGCTAAATACCCTATACCCTACCTAGGCCCGCTTGGTACAAACCATTCGACATATTGTCAGCACAAATATCGAACATCGCCATCCCCACCATTGATTGTTACACGGGTCAAAAGATATCTATGATAAGTGGTTAAGACCGTGACGGATTGGTTGAATATTAGTCACATACGACGACGACGACAACGAAGATAAAACATACACACACACACACACACACACACACACACATACACACACACACACACACACACACACACAAAACCACAAAACACGACAAATCTACACACACATTTCTCTTATACAAACACACCACACACAGACATTGGACACGGAACGCATACGCGTGTTAGCTATGAAAAAAAAAGAATAGTTTAACTAATCATTTTATA